GCAACCTCCGCCTCCTGGGTTCAGGCAATTCTCCTGCCTCAGCCTCCTGAGTATCTGGGATTACAGGCACGCACCACCATGCCCAGCAAATTTTTTGTATTTTTAGTAGAGACGGGGTTTCACCATGTTGACCAGGATGGTCTCGATCTCTTGACCTCGTGATCCACCCGCCTCGGCCTCCCAAAGTGCTGGGATTACAGGCTTGAGCCACCGCACCCGGCCTTCTTTTTTTTTTGAGACAGAGTCTCGCTCTGTCACCCAGGCTGAGTACAGTGGCACAATCTCGGCTCACTCCAACCTCTACCTCCCTGAGTTCAAGTGATTCCCCTGCCTCAGCCTCCCAAGTAGCTGGGGTTACAAGCGTGCACCACCACACCTGGACTACTTTTTGTATTTTCAGTGGTGATGGGGTTTCACTATGTAGGCCAGGGTGGTCTTGAACTCCTGACATCAAGTGATCCACCCACCTCGGCCTCCCAAAGTGCTGGGATTACAGGTGTGAGCCACTGTGGCTGGCCTGGCTAATGTACTTCTATTGGACATGCTACTCTACATTTACATGGTATGGGGTAGGCAGTGAAATACCATAGATAGGAAAGGTAATTTGGCAAAGCATTCAAATGGACAGAAACAACACAAATATTTTTGCTGGCATCAGGAGCACTGTGTAGCACAGAACACCTCCCAGGAAGCAGAAAATTTTTTTGCCTAAAAACCACTGTATAAGACCCCAATTAAAAAACAAAAGCAAATGAGCCTCAAACTGTCTTCCCTCAGCTTTGCCTGGGAGCTGCTACCTTTGCACTTATTTTCCTACCGTCTTCCAGGTGCCAAGGATATTAGCCACATAAGGGAGCTGCGCATATTTGTTTCATTTTAGGCATCATTCTTTTGTGGTTCCCCCGACCCGGATATTGTTGAATCTGTTCAAAGCTGGATGAAATACTATGCAAGTCTTGCTGCTCTCAGTGTGCTGCTTCTCTCACCCTTGGTGGAGGCTGAGCCTGTTGTCAGCGCCCACCAGCCCAGTAGGTTTTGATGCTGCCTCCTGAAAGAGATTGTATTTGTTTACTTTTGCACTACACAGTTGCTGTTTAAACTACATCAAATTTTGAGGGGAGAGTATTTGCCTGTGATGGAAAGAGAGATGATTTATTGCTTCAAAGGTTTTAAATTAAAAGCTATTCTAACAAAAAAAAAAAAAAAAAAAAAGAGAAAAGAAAGGGAGCTCAAAGCAGAAGGAAATGGTAGTTTTTCCTTTAAGTGAGGTTTCAGCCAGACACATTTTCAATACAGGGTAAATAAATGGGAGGGGAACTCAGTTAATTAGATATTTACTGTACATGTATATATGACTAGAACACATTCTTAGACTTCAGTGAGCCTGCATGGTAGTCATGGGAGGCACATATTAAATAAGTTCTAGGTCTTTGTTTCCTATCAGGACAAATAGTTAACAAGTGGCTATTTGGTACTGACTACTTTCTCAGGCCTGGGTTAACTGCTAGGGGGATGCAACAGAAATTTAAAAGATAGTAACTGTTATCAGATAGGAAGGAAAAACACGTGAAACAGGTGCCATATGCAACAGTAGTAAATAGTTGGATGCCCACCTGGGCATGTGCCATAGGAGTTCAGAGGAGAAAAGGGCCAGTGGGCCCCAGAATGGTCAAGTAGGCTTCATATTGGGGATGGGGAGGTAGTGGATACTCAGAGAATGTATATTACATTTAGAGAACTAACAAAACTGTGGAGGAGGAGCTGGAAACCTTAGGCTTCAAAGCAAAGTGAAGTCAGGTTAAGGTACCAGTGATATTACGTATGGCTAAGATATATTTTGATCTCACTCTTTTGAAAGCTCAGATTAAGGCAAGCACCAGTATTTGCCAGGCACTGCATTTTGTTGAAGCCACACTATAAAGTGAGACAGTCCTTTCAAGATGGATCCTAAATAGGATGGGAATCTCCAACAAAATAAAGATATGTGCTGTGGAGGAAAACAAAGTAGTAAAGAAGTGCAGGGAGTGCTGGGGTGGAGGGAGGTGGCCAATTTTAAGTAGGATCATCAGAGAAGAGCTCAAGGAGAAGGTGACATTTGAGTTGAACCTGAAGGAGATGAGAGAGCTACCCAAGTGGTTACCTGGAGGAAAGGCATTTTAGGTAGAGGCATGAGCAAGTACAAAGACCCTGAGGTGGGAATGAGCCTGGCATGTTTAAGAAACAGCAAGACAGTCTGTGTGTCTGGAGCAGAGTGGACAAGAAGGAGAGCAATAGGAGCTGGGGTGGGAGATGTGATGATGCCAACTGTGTGAGCTGCATAGGCCAAGAAGGCCTTTTGGACCAGAAGCCATTTCAGGGTTTTTATACAGGAGTGACATGACCTAACTTGTGTTTCAAATGATTACTCCAGTGGCTGCATTTAAAAAACTACAGGGCTGGAGGACAAAGGCAGAAGCAAGTTAGGAGGCTGCTACCGTTACCCAAACAGGAGCTGATGATAACTTGGATCTGGGTGGAGCAGTGGAGGTGGTAAGAAGTGATCAGACTCTGGATATGCTCTGAAGGGAGAGCCAACAGGACTTGCAAAAAGACTGGATATTGGGTATGAGGGAGAAGTGGAGTTGCTGCTGCTGCTGAGGTTTTTGGCTAGCACTGAGGACCTTGGCTGGTCCCAGAAAATCCAAGTTCCCAGAACTAGAGTCTCATCCTGGCCCTAAATGCCCCAAACAGAACTCTTCAGAGGCTGGTCTGGGTTATGCTAGCATTTGTGAGAGGGTTCATTTTGCCTCATCATTTCAATACTTTGTGGGCATTAATTGGGCAATTAACATATTCCTGTTGTTTAAATTTGCTTGCATTAATTCAACTCTAAGATGAAAACATTCTTCTGAGGATTTTTAAGCCTTTTACAATACTAACCTCTTTTCTACTTTATTCAACCTGCCAAAACACGTTTCCAATTCTTTCTCATGCCAGGTACGTTCCATGGTGAGTGACTTTGCTGTTTTCCTCACTATCTTCACAATGGTGATTATTGATTTTTTGATTGGCGTTCCATCACCAAAGCTTCAAGTTCCCAGTGTGTTCAAGGTAAACAGATCTCAGACTGCTTGGTACACTCATATAATTTCATACACTCTAATGCCAAGTTAATTTCAAAGGCCTTTTCACATCCTAATCACGAGTTTTGCTGTCCTCTAAATCTGAACCTTACTCCTCATACCTTGTCGTTTAGAAAAGCAAACTTCAGACTTAGCTGAGTTCAAGTCAGAAAAGCCAGAGAACATAAAAATCAAGGTTGTTTAATGAATGAAAAGTATTATTATTATGAATACCACTTATTCTTAATATGTTAATATGTAAACAATGGAATGTGCACATTTACATAAATATATTCAGGACACTCTGGAAACGTGGGTTTCTGGAACAAGCAACAGCACTTTCACTGAGCATCGGCTGTATAAGGGCACTGGGAGGATGAAAAGGTCAAGGCTTGGCCTGAGCCTTCAAGGATGGTGCCCCTTCCTTGTAGGAGGAGAATGGATCTAAGAAGAGCCTTGTCAGGAGTCTAGGACGCCTGGCAGAGTAATCATGACATTGAAGTCATCTCTATCTGATTTTGCTGTTTGTATAACTCTCTCTAATATATAGTATTTTATGCTATGTATATTACGAACTATACTTCTCTCTAATATACAGTATTTTATATAAGAACCTATACAAAAAGTAAAACAAATGATCAATACATGAGGGCTCCAAATTGATTTGTTTGAGAGCACTGACAGTCAACAAAGAAGATAGAAAAGCTGAGCTCAGTTCCATAGATCCCCATAGTGGAGAGGAGAGAAAACCTTTGGCATACTCAGTGACTTAGGAAGGATGATAAAGTAGGAAGATGGGAGAAGTTGGTGAGGAGAAGGCCAACAGGTAGAAAGGCAGTCCCTGACTTGTAAATGCTCCCTTCAGTTGTCCCTTTGCTTTCCCTTTTTTCTTTCTACCCGTGAAGTAGGCCTGTTGAAATATCTTCTTCCATATTTTCTGAAAAAATTTAATTTTGTTGAATTTGCTGAAATGCCACCAGTTGGTAGTTTATGGACTAACCAATCCCTCTTGTAAGTATAATGCCTTCTAGAATATGGCATTCTCGCCTTTGTGTGAATGAGCACAATCAGCTTTCTCTCTAATACCTAGCTGAGGTCAGCACTGCAGGAGGAATGGATTTTGTGTAAAAATAGGTAATTTGGGAACATTAAACAGTCCTTGGAAAGGTTCCCTAAGGGATAGGCTTAAGATAGCCAGAAGGCACTGAATTTCTGGGACATCTGTGAAGAAGGCCTCTGGGAGGTAGAACAGGGAGAAAGGGAAATGGGAGAATGTCAAAGAAAATGCTGCTCATGACGGGCTCCATTTTCAGGACACAGAGAAAAAGTTTCCTTCTTCCTTTCCCTCCCTATTGTACCACATGGCACTCAACTCCCAAGACCCAATCTGAAGGCTAGTACTATTACTAGGGGTATAAGGTCATTAAGGATTTATTTAATAAGTTTTTGTGTTGGTCCGAGAACTTAACTACCACTTACAGCATTGTTACTAAGAAAACATAGATTCTGTAAACTTTTAGAAGCTAACCCATTCATAATTTTGGACTTGGTGGTGTTATTAGTCTTTGGATCCTAGAGACATGACTAATAAGGAACCAAATCAAATATAACAGTCTATGCTTTCTTTCTTGAGTTTGAGTCATCTCTGGGCCAGTTGGTATCCCTGACCTTTTATCCTCTAGCACCACTTACCAAAACAGGGCAAACTTGTCTTCCTCAGAGTACACTGCAGGAGTGGGGTAAGGATCTAGGTGAGTTTAGATATGTCATGAACACTCCAATAAGATTTATAGACAGTTTTATTACAGGGGCATTGGAGAGGATCCTAGGTCAAAGAAACACTCAACTTTAGCAATCTTAGACTCCTTTTCAAGTCTCTGATGGCTGGACCCCTGTTTGACTACAGATGGGGAAAGGCCCTTGGAGCAATCCAGTCTAATCTAAGCCCAAGAGATTCCATGCAGATGGCTCTACTTTGCCGTTTTTTATGCTGTAGACACACATTATATGGCTCTGGAGAGAAGTAGTAGGAGAATAGTCTAAGTTATTTATATTTGTCTTTGGAAGTCATTCAATTTTTTGACAACACATACAGTTGTTAATTATATGTTACTTAGGTTAATGTTGAGATACAGTTGTTTTTTCTCTACCCAGAGGTTTGGGAAGTAAGTAGAAGGAAGTGCAGGATTAATGAATATTTCACAAGAAATTGATAATTAAAGATTGACTGTTTCAAAGGGGATTTGGAAGTACTACTGAGTAAAAGGGGCTTGCTGCCCAATGTGCTAGAAGCCAGTACTATGATACCAGGTTTTTGAGAAAAGAAAAGCTTTTTATTTCAAGCTTACTAACAAGGAGATAGGAATTCAGCTCAAATCTGTCTGCCTGCACTGGCTTTACTGAAATAATTAGGAAAAGGTTTTGGGGGTGGATTCTGGGATAGTAGATGATTGGTAGAAGGAAAGGGGAGGTCTGGAAAGTCCCCAGTCATTCATATTTATCTCTTCATTCTACCTCTGGTCCCATGTGCCAAGGGGGTTTCAGCAAGTTCTTTTCTTATCTACCATCCTGTAAAACCAATAATTTCTGTTAGTCATTGGTGTCTTTAACTCTTTGGGGAATGGTTTCAGAACAAGGTCACAGATTTCCTAAGGAGTTGCTGTATGTATTTCATGCCTTTTTTTTTTTTAAAGGATCCTGTCTCAAGAATAAAAAGAAATATGGATATTATGATTAAGTTTGATATATTTTACTCTGATGACTATAGTTAACTTAAAATGCAAAAATAGTATCTTTTCCCCCTTAGCCAACAAGGGATGATCGAGGATGGATTATTAATCCCATTGGCCCCAATCCCTGGTGGACTGTGATAGCTGCAATTATCCCAGCTCTTCTCTGCACTATCTTGATATTCATGGATCAGCAGATCACAGCCGTCATTATTAACAGAAAGGAACATAAGCTCAAGGTAAAAAGACGCTCTGACCTAGAAGACTGCTATGGCCACCTGCTACTTTTTTTTTTTTTTAGTGTAAGGTCATCTAGACCAGAAACTGTAGAATCTGGATAAAAACACTTCATAGAAGGGGTTCAAAAGGGGTTTCCATTCCCTCCATTAATAACCAAGATTGCTTTGGAGATGAGACTAGAGTGGAGCATGGTGGTATGGTATGAAAGAAACGTGGACTTCATTACTCTCCTCTCACACCTATGGAGAAGGTGATTGGGTGGAGTTCCTGGTGGTCCCTATATAGCTCTATGCTTTGGGTCAAGCAACTGTACAGCTTGTCTTCCTGAGGTTCATTCAGGTGGGGGCCTGGGCCACTGTTTCCTAGAGGCAGATAATCTTTCGTTGATATTTGTTACTATAGTTTCTAGATGGAAACTCGAACCCTAGGATCCTAGGAGGGTAGCAGAGCAGGCAAGCAACATCCAAATCTGTCAAGGATCTGGGAGTATGTAGTACGAAGCCAATAAGGACATTTATCTCCAATTTCTATAGTTTCTACCATCTAGAATGCTCAAGATATGGCATGATCTTTGGTTACTCTTCCAGAGAAGAATGGATCCTTGAATGTGTAAGACAGAGTAAGCTGGAGACACTTGGAAAAAGAATGAATATTGGCATATATAGGACAGGCTAAGATTCCCCTTTTTCTTCTTTGTTTCCTCCTAACCAGGAGGGGCTACAAGACTCCTCTTGAATCCCTGAGCCCCTTTTTTCTTATCCATACATCCCTTCCTGCTTTGGGCCTGAGACCCCTAACTCACTGTTCCGTGCCCCACTACAGCTAGCCTACCAATGGTGACAGAGACTCTGTTTCCCCACAGAAAGGCTGTGGCTACCACCTGGACCTACTGATGGTGGCAATCATGCTGGGTGTCTGCTCCATCATGGGCCTGCCCTGGTTTGTAGCTGCAACCGTCTTGTCCATCACACATGTGAACAGCCTCAAGCTAGAATCTGAATGCTCTGCTCCTGGAGAACAGCCCAAGTTCCTAGGCATCCGAGAACAGAGAGTGACAGGCCTTATGATCTTTGTGCTGATGGGCTGCTCAGTCTTCATGACGGCTATCTTAAAGGTAATCATCCCTTCACACATTCAGCAGATACCAAGGGCCTGATATGTGCCAGGAATCCTGCCAGGTGCTGGAAATACAGTGGTGCCAAACAGATACACATACAAATCTCTGCCCTGAAATAGTTCATTCTAGAGGGGTAAGACAGATAACGTTTAGTTAAGAAAATTAGTTAAGAAAACAAACATGATAACTACAGAATGTGATAAGTGATATAAAGGAAATACACTGTGCTTTCTGGTGCTAAAGAGAATGGAGAGGGGTCTCTTTTAGTTAGGATGGTCAGAGAAGGCCTCTCTGAGGAGATGCTATTTAAGGTGAGGTGGAGCCAGCCACGCTATGGATGGTGGGAGGTGGCACAGAGGGAGGGGAGAAGAGCGGTCTAGTCAGTCATTGAGGTGGGAAAGAGTAATATACGTTCTATGAAATATCAGGGCCGTGTGGCTCATGGGCATTGAATCAAGGCAAGAGCACAGTGCGATGAGAAGGAAAGAGGGGGAGGGACAGATCATGTGGGGCCTTATCGACAGTGGGCAAGGTAACCTTTGAAGGGTTTTAACAGGAGAGGGACATGATCCAGCTAGTTTAAAAAGATCACTCTGGCTGATATCTAGGGAAGAATAGAAGCAGACAGACCAGTGAGGCTGTTGCAGGTGACAGATGATGGTGGCTTGAATAAGGAAGCTGGTAGCAGGGACAGATAAAAAGACATGGCCTCTGTATAGCTTGGAGGCAGACCCAAAGTTGTGGCATTTATTAATATGGAAAAGACTGTATGATTTTTGTGAGGGTTGGGACTGTGATCAGATTTGGAATGAGATGTCTGGGAGTTATCTAAGTGAAAAGCCTAGAGGAGGGTTCCAGATTAAAATGTAAATTTGGGAGTCAGCAGCACGTAGGTGGTATTGGAAAGCCAAGGGAATAGATGAGAGAACTCGGAAAAAAGTAGACATAAAAGAGAAGTGGGACATAAGAGAAGAGCAGAGTTAGAGGTTAGATAGAGGAAGAGGTAGCAACAGAGTCTCAGAAGGAGCTGCCAGAGAGGTAGGAGGAAAACTAGGAGGGTGTGGTATCAGGGAAGCCAAGTAAGGAAAGTGTTTCAAGAAAGAGGGGTTGGTTAGATGTCTAGGAAGATGAAGACTAAGCCAAGGCCATTGGGTTTAGCAACACTGGAGGCCTCAGGTCATTTGATAAGAGCAGAGTCAGTGGATTGCATTAGTTTCTGCTGCCTGTAGGTGATTTAGAAGTAGAAGCAAAAGCAGAAGCTGACAGTGATAAAAATTATTTTGTTCTGAAATTAAATGATTACATGTAAGTTAAATCACAGGCCTCCATGTCTGGCTCTTCCTCCACCCCTATCTAGGAATGGGCAGGCAGACAGACACACACACACACACACACACACACACACACACACACCCCCACCCACCCACCCCTCTTTAACAGAAATGGTGACACACACACCCACCCCTCTTTAACAGAAATGGTGCCTTTTAAATCTTCCATAATCTCAAAATCTTCCAAATCCTTAGGGATTTAGTGTGTTTTAACCTGGAAACTATGTTACTGTCCAGTGACTTGAGGCAGGAGTTAGGGGTATCTTACCAGAGAAGGAATTCAGTGGAACTATAGGGCAGAAATCCAGTTATAGGTGGCTAAAGAGTGAGTAGCAGATAAGGAAGTAAAGAGTACAAGTGCAGGCAAATCTTTCAAGAGGTTTTTCTGCTAAGCAGAATGGAAAAATGGCAGTGGCTAGTATGAGAAGTGGGGCTAAAAGAGAGGCTGTTTATTTTATTTTTTTGGTACAGATAGAGGATGCTTTGAACATTAAAAAAATGTTTTGTGGGTAGAAGGCCTGCATCTGGGAGATTGGGGTGAGAAGGAAACTCTATGGCTGTATTACCAGGCACCAACCATTCTGGAGCACTGCCTTGTCTCCCTTGCCTCCTCTTTCCTTCTTTTTGGCAAACCTTCAACCACCCCAGCCTGTACCACAAATGCCCTTCAAGAGTGAGAACTGAGGGGATGGGAAGGATTTCTGAACTGTCTTCCTGTCCCCTCACTTTCCACTCAACCTTACCACCCACCTCTCCTCACGCCCCTTTCCCCTCATATTCCCTGTCCCCAGCCTAGCTCCCACTCCCACCTGGTCAAGGCACCATCTGGAAGAGCCCAAATGTTGCTGCTTCTCCACAATAGAGCCCAGAAGGCGTGGCAGTGGCCATCACTGGGCCTTTCTCTAACTGCTTCAGGACAATTCTCTTAGGACAACTATTCAGTAGTTCCACAAACAGCATCCAGTTGGGATGTCTAGTCACTCTACAGCTGGAACATAAAATCCAATGGGGGATTTTCTAATTCTTTCTTTTTTTTAAAGTTTACTTTAAGTTCTGGGATACATGTGCAGAATGTGCAGGTTTGTTACATAGGTATATATGTGCCATGGTGGTTTGCTGCACCCATCAACCAATCATCCAGGTTTTATGACCTGCATGCATTAGGTATTTGTCCTAATGCTCTCCCTCCCCTTGCCCCCCCACCCACAACAAGCCCCAGTTTGTGATGTTCCCCGCCCTGTGTCCATGTGTTCTCATTGTTCAGCTCCCACTTATGAGTGAGAACATGTGGTATTTGGTTTTCTGTTCCTGTGTTAGTTTGCTGAGGGATTTTCTAATTCTAAGAATTAGGTTTGGGAATATTCTTTAGTGCTAGAATAAAAACAAGTCCAATTTAGTTTTCATCTCCTAGACTTTCCTTGCCTTGATTCTCTAGGCCCAATTTCCCTACCTCAGAGTCAATCTGAAGATTATTTAGGTTGACAGACATGATGTGATCAGAAAGTCATACTCAAATACTGTGTGGATCTTCAAGTGCAATATAATTATGTCGGTGTTTATCCCTAAACCTTCCCTCTCTGATAAGATACCTCCTCACCCCTGCCCTCAAGCCACTGGTCAGTAAAAAAGGAAACTTTTTTGGTTCATGTTAAAATACATCAAATCCTTGAGGAGATGATTGTGAGATCAGAAGATTTAAAAGGCATTATAGCCGGGCGCGGTGGCTCAAGCCTGTAATCCCAGCACTTTGGGAGGCCGAGGCGGGTGGATCAAGAGGTCAAGAGATCGAGACCATCCTGGTCAACATGGTGAAACCGTCTCTACTAAAAATACAAAAAATTAGCTGGGCATGGTGGCGCGTGCCTGTAATCCCAGCTACTCAGGAGGGTGAGGCAGGAGAATTGCCTGAACCCAGGAGGCGGAGGATGCGGTGAGCCGAGATCGCGCCACTGCACTCCAGCCTGGGTAACGAGCAAAACTCCGTCCCCCCCCCCCAAAAAAAAAAAAAGGCATTATAAGAAAGGGACGTGTATGTATGTGTGTTTATGTGTATGTGTATGTGTGCCCATCCCCATGGAGGAGGAAGAGCCAGACAGCTGAGATGGGAGGCATGTGATTTAACTTACATGTCATCATTTTATTTCAGAACAAAATGATTTTTATCATTGTCAGCTTCTGCTTTTGCTTCTACTCCTAAATCACTCACAGGCAGCAGAAACTAATGCAACGTTTCTGCAGGTATTTTGTGTCTTTGTTTCATTCTCGGAGGTTTAAAAGTTTATATAGTTTTCAGTGTACTATGACACCAAATTTAATTTCTGGCCTTTCTTGTCTTTTTATCTTCAGTTTATTCCAATGCCAGTACTCTATGGAGTTTTCCTCTACATGGGAGTTTCTTCACTACAGGGAATTCAGGTATTGTGTGGTTCAGTCAGGGTAGTTTCTTCTCACTGCAGGTTCACATATCCTGTCCCGGGAGGGACAGCTCCCCAAGAGAAGCACAACTAGTTCTTGATAAAATTATTTCCTGGTCTTGCCACTTAGGCTATTTTAGACACTTATTTGAATACAGGGAAAACAACAGTCATGTTGGCAGGAGAGTACAGAGCCTTCCAGGGTGGCTTGGCTTGAAGTCATGGCTCCAGTCATTCATTAATTATTTAACAGACAATTTTTTGGCATGTATTAAATATTAGGTACTTTGCCAGGTGCTGGTAAGCTTGAATCTGAAAGGCTGATCAAGAACCAAACTGGCTTTCACTCATAGACAGATCTAGGTTAGTGCCAGGCTAAAGTGTAAAAATGGGGTGTTTAACTTTGGGGGTACATTGGCAGAAGAGATGGGGGAATAGTGGGAGTTGCTCCTGGTAAGCAGATGTCACTTCCTGTTATACTCTGCATTTTTGCATCTGTCAACTCATTGCGCTAAGTCTTTCAAACAGAAAAATGAGGAGCTTGCCATTGATAACTTGGGTACTCCAGACAATATAATAAATTAGGCTGATTATTCTTTGTTCGAATGGAATGTCCAATGGCCATTTTTATATACTGAGTTCTAATATGAACTTGGGCAGATTATTTAATCTCTGGTTTTCTTTTTTTCCTTTTTGTAAGGATGATCATTTTTTCTGTATCTAGGATGTTAAGAAGTTTCACTTTATCTCTTCACTATAAATAATCAATGAATAGCTCCAAACTCCTAAAAGAACAAGTAAGAGATTTGGTTTTGATAATAAGCAAAAAGATGTAATTGGCTTATTTTGTTTTCAACATTCCCTGAGAAAGAGCTCTCTTAGGAGCCACAGAGTGGGATAGGAGAAAAAAGTTTGAACCTAGAATTAGAAAAGATGGATTCAGATCTTGACTTTGCCACTTACTAACCTTGGCCAAATTGCCTGGTCTTTTAAAGTCTCAGATTCCATTTCTGTCCAGTGGAAATGGTGTGAACTGCCTTTCAGAGCAGGTGATGTAAGAGACATGAATGGGTCTAACAAGGCTTCTGACCCAGAGAGTCCTCCTGAAAATAAATGCCAGTTCCTTCCTTTCAGTTCTTTGATCGTCTAAAGCTCTTTGGGATGCCCGCAAAGCACCAGCCAGATTTTATCTACCTGCGGCATGTGCCACTGCGTAAAGTGCACCTCTTCACCCTCATTCAGCTGACCTGTCTCGTCCTGCTCTGGGTCATCAAGGCCTCTCCAGCCGCCATTGTTTTCCCAATGATGGTAAAGGGGTTTTAAAAAAATAAATTATTATTATCATTGTTATTTTTTAAATTGTAGTGAAATGTTCTAACTATAAAATGTACGATTTTTAAGTGTAGAGTTGAGTGGCATTAAGTACCTTCACATTGCTGTGGAGCCATTACCACCCTCTAGCTCTGGACCTTTTTACATCTTGCAAAGCTGAAACTCTGCACCTATTAAACACCAGATCCCCATTCTCCCCTATCCCCAGCCTCTGGCAACCACCATTCTACTTACTGTCTCTGTGTATTTGATTATTCTAGGCACATCATATAAGTGAATCACAGAATTTGTCCTTTTGTGACTGGCTGATTTCATTTAGCTTAATGTCTTCGAGCTTCATCCATGTTGTAACATGTGTCAGAATTTCCTTCCTTTTTAAGATTTAATAGTATTCCACTGTATGCATATACCACATTTTGTTTATCCATTCACCTGTTGATGTGCACTTGAGTTGCTTCTCCCTTTTGGATAGTGTGAGTAATACTGCTGCAAATATGGGTGTACAAATATCTGTTTGTATCTCTGTTTTCAATTCTTTGTTGTAAATACCAGGAGTGGAATTGCTGGATCATATGGAAATTCTATCTTTAATTTTTTTCTAATCCTCTAGATCCACACCCTCCTGGTGGGTTTCTCAATTTTGTCAGAATACATACAAGGCTTTGCATTTGTGTGTTATGTTCATGGGTTAAAAAATAGCAAATTACTGGGAACTCATAGAAGGGATCCTATCAATTCCAGATGTATTAGGAAAGTAGTCACTATCATTAGAGAGAAATGTACCTGAGTTTAATAAGCGTGAATTGCCTCATTCCCTGTCCAGTCACCAGGTATAGCTGATGAACACCAGTCCACCCAGACAGTGTTAATTCTGTTTTCCTTTGGCTAAAATGGCCCTCATGAGAAAGTAGAGCAGCAGTTTGGATGCCCTGGACCTGCCCTTACTGGGGAAATCAGCTGTCAGATTCTAGGCAAGTCACTTTCTCTCTCTGGGCCTCAGTTTCCTCATTTATAAAGTGAGTGTCAGGCCAGGCTAGGGAGCAGAGACAAAAACCCCTAGAGACACATGATGCAGGCCCAAAGCAAGGATTTGCATAGGGGAATGTATAGGCAAAGGATCAGAGGGAATAAAGATGATCCTCTAAGAACCCATCATCCCACTGTGAGGCATGCTTGGGCTGGCTGTGGCTGGTCCCACCATGGCCCAGCGCTTGAAGAGGCTTTCTACCCCTCTGCTGTCCTGTAGCCTTGCTGCTGACCCCTAACCATCTGCAGATGATGAGCTCCTCTTTTCAATGATGGAATCCAGATAGCTGCTCTCTAAGTTGTAGGGCTGTTATGATGATAGGTAAAATACTGTATATAACATATTGTACCTGGCACAAAGAAAGCATTCAATAAATGGTGACTCTTACGATTATCATGAGTTTGATTTTGCTTGAACTGTCCTAGTCTGCCATGAAAATAAGGCTTTGCTTTTAAGCCCAAGAAGGAAATTAGTCCCTTTCATTCACTTTCTTTCTTGATTTTTCTTCAGGTTTTGGCCTTGGTTTTTGTCAGGAAAGTCATGGATCTCTGTTTCTCTAAGCGAGAGCTGAGCTGGTTAGATGATCTCATGCCTGAAAGCAAAAAGAAGAAGTTGGATGACGCCAAAAAGAAGGCCAAAGAGGAAGAGGTCGTAGTCCTTGCACCAACTGTATACCTGGGACCCTCAAATTACAGACCATAGGAAGGGTCACGTGAAAAGCCAGCATGTCTGAAATCCCAAGGGTTATATTTAGGAGCTGGGAAGATTACCCCAAAGTTGTTCTCAGCTAAGAATGGGTTAGGGATTCTTGCTCCTGTCTGTACTTCCTTTTTTGGGTTTGACAACCAGTTATTTTTTCCTTTGTCTACAACCAACTCATCAGGTTCATACCTAGAATGTGAATATATGATATGCAGATTCACGGCTTATTAGCAGATTCAATGGCTCCCATTCTTTCAAAAGGTCTAATTTGACAAATATATAAAACCCATTATTTCCTAGAATGTTTGTAATGTATCTAAATGCAAATGGTGCTGTGGTTGGCACCATGCAAAGATAACTTGCATAGGACTTTCTGTCTTTTTTCATTTCCCTCAGCACTTGTCATCTTGTCATCTACACAATGGACCCTCAATAAATGGCCTATATATACAAAGAAAGAAAATGTAGCAAAATGAAACACCAGACTAAGAAATGAGTGAGCTGGGAAGTGTTTCCAAATACAGTTAGTGCCTAAAATAGTGTCCTTTGAAAAAACTTTTAAAAGACTTTTTGTAGGCCAGGCACAGTGGCTTATCCCTATAATTTCAGGGATTTGGGAGTTGAGGCAGGAGGATCACTTGAGGCCAGGAGTTTGAGACCAGCCTGGGCAACATAATGAGGCTCTGTCTCTACAGAAAAAAATCAAAAGAATTAGCTGGATGTGGTGGCATATGCCTGTAGTCAGCTACTTGGGAGGCTGAGGTGGAAGGTTACCTTGAGCCCAGGAGGTAGAGGCTGCAGCGAGCCGTGAGCATGCCACTGCACTTCAGCCTATGCTGAGTGAGAGCCTATCTTGAGAAAAAAAAAAAGACTTTTTTTCCCGTAATATCTTGAACTTTAAAAACCTTGTATTTCTAAATAAGCTTCAACAATTGTAAAATATAAAATCAATGGAAGAAAACTTTAAAGAGAATATTGATAGAATTCATTATGTAAAATGTGATGCTTTCAGGCATCCAAAGCTCTGTAAACAAAATTTTAAAATAACAGATAAGTTGAGACATGTGCTAATATTATTACTATTCAAATAATTCTTATAAATTAATAACAATAATATGAATTTGAAATGAGCAATGGACATATATAATTTACAAAAGAAGAAGTACAAATAGCCAGTTGCCTTATGACAAAAATTTCATTCTTACTAATAATCAAATAAATGATTGTGCAGCATCTGGATTTTATGAAATGAAAATCAGTATTAAAAAATAAAAAAAGAGGTTGCTTCTTGGCCTTTTAGCTAACATCAAGTGTAAAAAATAAAAAAAAAAATGAAAATTTAAACGAGGAGAATACATGTTTTTACTTGTCGAATTGACGAAGATTTTTAAAAGATAAAAGCAAGCACTGGCAAGACTGTAATTCAAATAGACTTCTCATACCCTAAAAATGGTAATATAAGTTGCATATATCTCTTTAGAGGGCATTTTAACCATAGAGTCTTAAAAATGTATATGCCCTTTGGCCCAGTAACTCTAACATTTAAATTTATCCTGAGGATATAATTAGCAATGTAGACAAAATATTTTAATTGTGGTGGCATAAAGAAAAAAGAAAAATTAGAGTAAATATTTTACAATAGAATGTTGTACAACAGTTTAAAAATAAAATTTTAAAAAATTCTTAATGATATGTGCTGTAATCCCAGCTACTCCAGAGGCTGATGTGGGGTTACACCTGTAATCCTAGCACTCTGTGAGGCCAAGGCAGGCAGATCACCTGAGATCAGGAGTTCGAGACCTGGCCAACATGGTGAAACCCCGTCTCTACTAAAAATACAAAAAGATTAGCCAGCCATGTTGGCGCACGCCTACAATCCCAGCTACTCAGGAGGCTGAGACAGGGGAATCACTTGAACCCAGGAGGTGGTGTTTGTAGTGAGCCAAGATCACCCCACTGCACTCCAGCCTGGGTGACAGAGCAAGACTTGGTCTCAAAAAAAAGAAATAAAGAAAAGATATGTGGACATGTTTCTGACATTTTATATGAAAACCATAGAGAATATAAAATGGAGCATACAGTAAGAATGTCAATCTCACTTTTACTAAAACATATACACATATCATACGAACACACACATACACACACGCATGTATGCATGCACACCCCCCCCCCCACACACCCGAAAAAGATTGGAAGAAAATAGATCAAAATGTTTATTCTGGCTCTCTATATCTTTCTAGGCAGTAAGATTATGCATTTTTTATTAATTTCCTTCTTTCTTCCATATTTATTGAATCCTTAGTTTGTTGTCACTGTTCCAGACACAGTAGTATACACAGCAAGAGTCCCTGACCGACCCCATGGAGCTTACATTCTCATGGAGGAGACACCATAAACAAAGAAATAAATATATATTTGTTTTCTTGGTTATAGTGCTATACTTTTACATATATATATATATATATATATATAACTTTAGGTAGTGATATGCTTTAAGAAGGTAGGAGTGAGGGAGTTACTTTGTTTAGGGTGATTAGAGATGACACTTTTGAGGAGACATCTGAGCAGAGACTGAATAAAGTGAGAAGCAAATCACGAGAATATCTGGGAGTAAGAACATTCCAGGCCAGGAGTACAGAAAACACAAAGGTCTTGAAGGGAAGAATGAGCTTGGTGTGTTTGAGGAACGCCAAGACATCTAGTAAGGCTGGAAGGGACAGAGTGGTAGCAGGGAGACCAGCTAGGAGGCTGGCAGCAGCTCAAGCAAAAGGGAAGGTGGCTTAGGCTAAGGAGAGGTGCTGAAAGTGGCTGAATTGGGTACTTGTTTGAAGATAGAGCTGACAGTTTTACTAATGATGGTGGGTATGAGTGAAAGAGGAATCAAGTATGACTCTTAGATTTTTGGACTGAACAACCAAATGAATGATTGTGCTATTTATTAAGATGAGGAAGACCAAGGAGAACAGCAGGTTTAGGAGGAAAATCAAGAGATCTCCTTTGGATGTTAAGTTCGAGGTGGCTGTTAGACATTACATTCCTTATTTTTCAAAATTCCTGAAGTAAGCACATATTTGTTAACACCTGTGTTACTTTATAAAATTATTTTAAAAGCTAAATAAAAGAAAAAGATGAAGACTTGTCCCCTAAAATTTCTCCACCTCATATCCAACATTTATGTTCATTTCTTTATGTTTTCAGTTTTTTTAACATAGTTTTCATATAACTATGATAATTATATAATTGTGAGTTCATATATATAGCACATATATATTCTGATTTTTCCCCTCAACCTGATTTCATAAGACACTTTCATGTTTCTATTTGTCTATATCATGATCATGTTTTTTAGATGGAGGTATAATGTTCTATAGTATTATCTCATATTTAATTTCAATATTTTTGTTAAAATTTTTAGTTGTTTTAGGTTTTATTATTAATTATATTCCTTTAAACATCTTTGTACAGATAGCTTTTTCTCTGTAATTATTTTCTTCAAATTAGTGGGATTATTTTCTAAGAAAACATTTTATTATGGATTTCTAAAAAAATGTTATTTTAGATTCAGGGCCTGTGCAGGTTTGTTACATGGATGTATTGAGTTATGCTGAGCTTTGGGCTTCTAATGATCCTGTCAGTCACCCAAGTAGTGAACATAGTACCTGACAACCCTTCCCCTGTCTCCCGCCTTTTGGAATCCATTGTTTTTTGCTCCCATCTTTGTGTCCATGTGTACCCAATGTTTAGCTCCCCCTTACAAATGAAAACATGCATTATTTGGTTTTCTGTTCCCACATCAGTTCACTTAGGGTAATGGCCTCCAGCTGCATCCACGTTGCTGCAAAAGACATGGTTTTGTTCTCTTTATGGCTGTGTAGTATTCCATGGTGTATATGTACTACAGTTTCTTTATTCAATCCACCATTGATGGACACGTGGGTTGATTCTATTTCTTTGCTGTTGTTAATAGTGCTGCAATACATATATGAGTGCAGATGTCTTTCTGATAGAACAATTTATTTTCCTTTGGGCGTATACCAAGTACTGGGATTGCTGTGTCTAACGCTAGTTCTATTTTTAGTTCTTTGAGAAATCTCCAAACTGCTTTCCACAGGGGCTGAACTAATTTGCATTCCCACCAACAGTGTAGAAGTGCTCCTTTTTCTCTATGACCATGCCAATGTCTGTTATTTTTTGACTTTTTAATAATAGTCATTCTGACTGATGTGAGATGGAGTCTCTTTGTGGTTTTGATTTGCATCTTTGATGATGAATGATGTTGAGCATTTTTTCATGTTTGTGGGCCATGTGTATGTCTTCTTTTAAGAAGTGTCTGTTCATATCCTTTGCCCTTTCACTTCTATGTATTAATAACACCCAGGCTGAGTCCAACAAAGAACGCAATCCCAACTACAATAGCCACAAAGAAATGAAATACCTAGGAATATACCTAATCAAGAATGTGAAAGATCTCTACAAGGATAACTATAAAACACTGCTGAAAGAAATCAGAGATAATTCTCTGAAAAAGAAATAATCTCTGATTTCCCTCAGCAGTGTGTTGTTTGTTCATTTGTTTTGAGATGGAGTCTTGCTTTGTTGCCCAGGCTGGAGCGCAGTGGTGTGATCTCAGTTCACTGCAACTTCCTGCTTCTGGTTTTGAGCGATCTTCCTGTCTCAGTCTTCTGAGTAGCTGGGATTACAGTGCCTTCCATCATGCCTGGCTAATTTTTGTATTTTTATTAGAGATGAGGTTTTGCCATGTTGACTAGGCTGGTCTCGAACTCCTGATCTGAAGTAATTGATCTGCCTGCCTCGGCCTCCCAAAGTGCTGGGGTTAAGGCATGAGCCACCGTGCCAGACCTCTTTTTTTTTTTTTTTTTTTTTTTTGAGACAGTGTCTCACTGTGTCACCCAGGCTGGAGTACAGTAGCATGATCTTAGCTCACTGCAGCCTCTGCCTCCTGGGTTCAAGCGATTCTCCTGCTTCAGCCTCCTGAGTAGCTGGGACTACAGATGTGTACCACCATGCCAAGCTAATTTATGTATTCTTAGTAGAGACGGGGTTTCACCATATTGGCCAGGCTGGTCTTGAACTCCTGACCTCATGATCCGCCTGCCTCAGCTTCCCAAAGTGCTGTGATTACAGGTTTGGGTCACCGCACCCGGCCAGCCTGACCTTTCAGCAGTGTTTTGTAGTTCTCTTTGTAGAGATCTTTTACCTTATGGATTATTTTAAACCTACAATAGTAGAAAGGAAAGACTTCTTATTGTTAATAATTTGGTTATTTGGATTAGCATCCAAAGAAGAGCCATATATTGCAATTGGTTGATATCTTTCTTAAATCTTTTTAGGTGTTCCCTTTCCATTTTTTTTTTTTAAATTGAAGAAACCTCTAGGATTTCTCGCCATTTATATTTTGCTAAATATGTTCCTTCCCTTGGTGTCATTTAAAATGTTTTTCTCTCCTCTATATTTGTAGTAAATTGGTCATTAGATCTAGAGATTTATCAGATTGACTTTTTTTTTTAATACAATTTCACATGTATAAATATCTGGTTGTCTCTCATTTTGTGATAACTCAAATCTACGAAAGAAACTAATTATATTCTTTATAATAAATGTGAAATGAAATTAGGTAGAAACTGTGGTGGTAGAAGAATGGGCTGGTGAACTTACAGTCTTACTTGGTCCAAGATATAATTATGTTTCTTTTTCTTCCAGGAGGCTGAGAAAATGTTAGAAATTGGGGGAGACAAGTTCCCCTTAGAGAGGAGGAAGTTACTAAGTAGTCCTGGAAAGAACAACAGTTGCAGGTAAAACTTTCAAACACCAAGGAGTTTACTTTTTTGGTTATTCTATAGGTGTTCTGGCTTTGTGGTGGTGGCAATGTCACAAATGCAGCTCTAGCATAAAGGGCTAAACATTCAGCCTCCCAGTTCCACCCTGTGAAAATACCTTTTCCATCTCATTATTTATCGAATACCTGCTATATACCAGGTACTATATCAAGTTCTGGGAATCACAAGGAGAAGAGAGGTAAGAAAACCAATGTACTGAGTGCCTCCTTTGTGCTGGGATTGTGCTAGAAGTTTTACTTATGTGTTGTCAGTTAACTTGTACTGATATGAATATCACTATCCGCATTTGTACAGGTGAAGAAACTAAGTCTTAAAGGGTTTTAGGTAATTTTATCCAAAGTTATAATGAAGCTGAGTAGAAAGATTTGGATTCAAACCCCCTGGTCCTTCTTCTATTCCTTAAACCAGTGTTCGTTTGCCTTTCTTTGCCACCTTCCAAAGATGAAAAGGATGTGGTCTTTATTTCCAGAGAGTTCTCAGCCTGGTGGGCATGAAATTCCAATGCTTGGGCAAGCTTTTGGGGATAGGCTGAAATAGTCAATGTTAGCTTGGCTTGTGGCATCTATAGTCCTGGGAGCAAGGAGGAATTGAACTGGGATCATGAAAATTCCTTACTTCTGCCAACGATTTTAGCCACTTTCTCCATCAAACCTATTCATCATCACAAATGACAGGAAGCTTAATTGGTACATTTGTAGTTTTACTCCTGGAGTCTTGTTTCTGAGTTGGAAGAGGTATACATAAGCTGAAAAGCCTAGCAGTCAAGAAGGGGCAGAAAAGGAAGAGAGCAGGATATCTGGGTCATTCAGATCCTGAAAAATTTACTGCTGAATCATTGAGTTCATTGTGGCTTATACTGTGGGGGAAATTAGGACAGTCTTTTTCTTAATAATAGTCTTGGTTCTTAATAAACTTTCTAGAGTTTGTTTTGAAAGGAGCCATGGGCTTTGAATTATCTGGTGGCAAAGTAGGAACCATGTTTCCTTTTTAACAGGATGCTGCCTCTTCTTTTGTCATTTTAGAAGGAGATAATCTGGCTTGCAGAAAACGTCAAACTACTCTGTCTCTAGGAAACCAAGAGCTGGGTTCAAGGTCTTGATTCTCTACTTGCTGTTGTTTGACCTTGGATAGTCACTTAGCTCCGAGAGCTTTCATTTCTGCACCTTCCAGATGAGGATGTTAATAAACTCTGTTGCTGTGATAGTTAAGATATTAGGAAAGTCCTAATGAACTACGAATAGAAGAGATTTGGCTGTGTATATGGGAAAATGAATGAAAAGTGCCTGGCACACAGCAAGTGCTCAGTAAGTGGTAGTTCCTGATGCTTCACTGTTGATAACATAGCATTGTCATCAGCATCTCCAATGAGGCCTTTCAGAGGAGTGCACAACTGGGGATAGGATTGGCTGCCACCTGGCACAACAGCCCAGCCTTCAGCACCACGTCATGGGTCACCTTGCCTCTTCCCATTCTGCACCTCAGTGGCTGCAGAAGAAAGATCAGACTCCATCTTGTTCCCAGAGTTCCTGAGAGCTGTTGGCTGGATGGTCTCAAACCCCATCTTTTCCCTTCTGGTAGGGCAGTGATCATTATAGACTGTGCTATGTATTTTACTTGTATGTCTGACATTCACTGTCCTAATCATTGATTTCAGATGTGACCCGTCTGAGATTAATATATCTGATGAAATGCCTAAAACCACAGTCTGGAAAGCTCTCAGTATGAATTCTGGAAATGCAAAGGAAAAGAGGTAAAGAGAACTGTAACATCTGATTTTTATTTATTTCTGGCTTTTGACAATGGCAATATTGAAGGTAAAATGTGTTTTAGTTGTAAAATGGAATTTTTCTAATAAATAGCACTTCCAGGAACTACCGCTAATCCCATAAGAATATCTATAAGCCAGTTGGGCATGGTGGCTCACACCTGTAATCCCAGCACTTTGGGAGGCCAAGGCGGGCGGATCATGAGATCAAGAGATTGAGACCATCCTGGCCAACATGGTGAAACCCTGTCTGTACTAAAAATACAAAAATTAGCTGGGCATGGTGGCAGGCACCTGTAGTCCCAGCTACTTGGGAGGCTGAGGCAGGAGAATCGCTTGAACCTGGGAGATGGAGGATGTAGTGAGCTGAGATCGCACTACTGCACTTCAGCCTGGCAACAGAGTGAGACTCCATCTCAAAACAAACAAACAAACCAACAACAACAACAAAAAAACAGCTATAAGCCTTAAAAAAGTAAAAATGTTTTCTAAATATTTGGTCAGGGTATTTTTTTAAGCAGCCTGTTTACACAAGTCCAAAGTCAGGATAGGATTATTTTGGCATATAAATTTGCTTTGCCCGTTGATTTCCTTTAATCTTCTTTCTAGTCTCATTTCAGAATCTAAAGGGCATGTCTCTGGTTACTGCAACCACACAAACAAGAAAATTGCTAAAATATTCAGATAGTGTTGATAGTACTGATACATTCTTTAACCTATTTAACTTGTTATATATGAGAAATATATTTGAAATGTTAAATTGTAACTTTTATCTTTCTTTTTTTGTTTATTTGAGACAATCACTCTCTGTCTCCCAGGCTGGAGTGCAATAGCATAATCTCCGCTCACTGTAACCTCTGCCATGTGGCCTCAAGCAATTCTTCTGCCTCAGCCTCCCAAGTAGCTGGGAGTACAGGTGCATGTCACCCCCACCGGCTTATTTTTGTATTTTTTTAGAGATGAGGATTTTACTGTGTTGCCCAGGCTTGTCTGGAACACCTGGACTCAAATGATTCTCCCTCTTTGGCCTCCCAAAATGCTGGGATTACAGGCATGAGCCACCGCACCCAGCCATAACTGATTTTCTGTTTTGAAACCAAATACAGTATATCATTTGCTAATAGCATAGATCAACCTTAATCAGATTAATGAAGACAATGGAAGAGCTTGAGGCATTTTTGCCTGCATTGAGGTAGGCTGTATGCCCAAATTTCTTGAATAATTTAGTCCAAATACCATTTAAGTATATGTAAATAACTGAACACAAAATCTGAAGCCTTCTTAAAGTCAACTTTTCTAGTTAAAAAAAAAAAAGCTAGGAGTCAGGAGACCTAGTCTTTCTATTAATTCCATGTATAACTTGGCAGACCACTGTTTCTGGCATTCAGTTTACTCAGCAGGAAAATGGAGATAATAATAACTAACTGCCTCACTCCTGAGGCTGCTCTGAGGAGAGATTGAAATGCATTGAGAAGTCACAGCCACCAGTGGGTGGTAGTGGTGATTTATGTCTTCATGGAATGGGTTAAAATGAATCTCTGCTGAATGTGAGTGAAATATAGAATCTTGTTTCCTTCAGAGGAAAATCCAGGCAGCTGTCGAAATGTATAACGCACATGGTTATTTTTAGTTGAGAACTAGTCTACTTGTAAATGAACTTAAAATATAGCCAGATCCAAATTGTGGTGACATCTTCAAAGTATTGTGTTAAAAGGAGGAATGAATCATATGTTCCCTTTTCGTCTAATTGTAACACTTTTATTCAGTCTCTTCAACTAAGAGTCTTTGCTGGGATGGAAGATTTGGGCCGTGTGGTGCCTCAGGGAAGTTCTGGGTTACAGAGAAAATGGTGAGTCTCTCAGAGAAGAAGCAAGACCAAGTCTGGCCCTGTCCTTGGTCATCTCAAAGCCATGCTGAAGCATTCAGTTATTCTTCGTGTGCACTGGAGGGCATCCAGCTATCCCCATACCAGCAACCAGTCGCCAGAAGTGAATGTGGAAGCAGAAGACCACTTCCTGTTGGTTCTTCTCCTCTTCTTCCTTCTTTTTCTCTTTAGAATGGCCACCATTGAAGACCTAGCTTCCCATTTTCCAGACATTTTCTCTGAAATTTTCTGCTGGCCTGCCAAGCCATATGGATTCATTTTGCCACTGAGGAGTCCTTCAGTGAGGTCCCTTTTCCTAAAGGATGGAGTGCGGAGTAGGAGGGGAATAGAGAAGAAACTCTCTCTGGCTCTCCAGTGTTTTTAGTGTCTGAGGCTCCTAGGCAGCCCTGGGCCTTGATTTGATTACCTCCCCTGGGGGATGCTGGTCAGACCCAGAGGTTGTCAGGAGGTCGGCTACCAGGAAGATCCATGATCTGGGCATTGGCAGTGCCTGCTACCACAGCCAGGAAGATGCCTCTGACCTGGGTGCATCTCCATCACTCCCTAGCAGCAGCCTGCATAACTGGCAAGAACCTTGGATGATAGAAGGGCCAAGAAGGGACATTTGAGTTGTTTCGCGTAGATAGGAAAAGAATCTGGGGAAAATCAATAGTAGGTGAGGATGAACAGCTTCTCTTGGTTTTCAGTGAGAATAGAGTGAGAGATTGAGCTTAGATTGCAACAGAAGGAATTAGTTTAGATACCAGCCTGAAGATTTGTCATAGTGTCTGCTTTCTAGATATCTGGGAAAGATTTGGTAATAGTGTTTGTGAATAGAAAGGAGGATGTGATGTTTTTATTGCCCATTTTGCGGGACTGTTTGACTTCTTGCTGCTGTCTCTTGAGGATATATTCCAATTCCATCCTGGCGCGATCCAAGTGCTTACGTACTGTCTCCTTAGCTGCCTTAGTAGTAAATGATCATCAGTTCAATGGACCAAAATCACCTTCAGCCATGTGGTTTCTTCATCATCATGGATTTCTTTTGGTTGGCAAACATTCTGGTTCTGAGATGCAAAAAGTCACACTGGGAAATTAACTGTAAGTGGTGAAATTAGTTTTGGTATTTAATTTAAAACTACATTTATGGTTTTCTCTTCTATGTTACAATGAATGTAAAGTATTTGGGATCCAGTGCTTATAAACCTTTCCCTCCTTTGTGCACAGAATGTAACTAGCAAGCCCATCAGCACCCAGAGAATCCTATCACGTTAGTTTCCCATCTTGAAAAATCTTTGTACAGTGGGAAGTACCCTGATGTGTTTTTCTTTATTAGGTGAAGGATTGGTTATATCAGTTTATTGAATTTTGCATTCCTTAAACTCTTAAAATATACTAATGTATTCTAGTCTTACTCTAAATACCATTGATATTAAGGGAATTCTGCATTTCTTTCATATTCCCTATCTCATAGGGCCACAATTATTTTAATACAGAGAAGATTTTCAAAATATTTAACAACTGGTACAGGACAGATGCCAACCACTCAGAAGGGATGCCTGCTGTAAACAAGCAGTATGTATGGTTGTACCAATGCCTATTGGCTGAACGGTATGCTACTTTCAGATATTAAAATGATGTCCCTTTGAATCGTGATTGTTCCTGGTTTGTCTTATTTCTATCACAAGGATGTTTTGGGGACAGCCTTAGCTTCCTTTCATATATATATATATATATATATATATATATATATATGTATATATATATATGGTGCAGACAGGATAGGGCATGATTATTTGAGCTATATGGGCATTAAAATCTCCATGAGCCAAAGCTTCACATTTTATCACTTTAGGGTAACTGTAATAATTGTACTCATTTACCTACCTAATTGGGAAAAATTAAAAGGCAGCCTGTCAGTAGGATAAGCTTTCTTGCAGACTTTTCCCTTGTCCCTCTGACTGCTTCCTTGAACTTGCCTCTTTTTCATCTTCATTGTTCCCTGAGAATATCCCCACTTTCTTGCTCTATCTTGCCCCTCCTATCTTTTCCTGCCACCTCTGTGTGGGGAAGTTGATGACCATTTCACCTCTTCCCCTAGCCTTAGCGCAGCTGTAAGGAGTGTATCAAAACTGGGTAACAGTATCACTCAGAAGAATGCCTCTCCTAATACACTCATGTCTTGTGCTGCCTGACTGCTGTAGGGGAGGAGCCTTCATTAACTCTGTGTAGTGCAGGTACAGAACCATGTGTGCACTTTTGGGTACTTCTTGAGCCAGACCCTCCCAGATCACTGCACCTTAAGAATGTGAGCTACTTTTTAAAAAATGTGGTTTGGTGTGTTGTTGAGGTAAACTTGATGGGGAACTGTGAGTGAAGATGGGAAGGGATTGGGTGGTTTTGCCATGAGGTGATGGCTGGGGTTGGCGCTAATGGTTTGCATGATCCTGGCTCCATGGGTGTGGTGCTCGGTAGCCTTGGTATAGTTGCAGGTCACCTTTGTGCATGGTGGTTACCAGTCACTCTAGGGATTGTAGGTCCCAACAGTGTTTCGGCAGCCTGCACAGCTGGTACGAGGACAGCTGGAGGAGGGTCTCATATCCCTGCAAGTGATACAGGACAAAGCTTCCCAACAGGAGGTGTCCCTTGCATGGCTCTTGAATGCACGGGTGATATATCAGTTTGAAGTTTCTTGACCTGTCCATCAAGGATCTTGAATTTTTTCTCAGTTGTGCTTGCTAATGCGTCGAAGGCCAAGTGCACTGCATCAAATTTGCTGTCTGTAAGATGCTAAAGTCCTTTGATCAATCCAGTGTTTCAGTTAGTTCTCTACTGACATCAGACTTGGCTTTGTCCCCTCTCTTTCTTTTCATTCAAGAGACTTTAAGGGTAAACCCTTCAGTTGAAACTGTCTTGGAAGTGCAGGCCTCCTCCTGTGTGGCTAACGAAAGAGACGGCACCAGGATCTTTCATGGCAAGTGCTCAAGGGGTATGGGTGGTTTTGTGTAGTCCGGTCCTTTTGAACGTGGTGATTTCCTGTCATCCTCATGGTCTGACATTGCTTTTCACTGGAAACTGGTTGTAGCCTTTGACTCATTAGCTGATTGTTGGATCTCTGTGAGGTTTGATTTTTTTTTTTTTAATCCAGGGGTCCCTATGGACCGTTGCCTGTTGCAAATGATAGTGATTCTCTTCTTCTTTTTCTTTGTCTCTAAGAGTTGCCTGGACGATTTCATGGATCACTCCACATGATTGCAGAATTTCCCATTGCTCATCTGTAAATGTTGATTAGCTAACCTGTCTGAGCTTTCGGCAGATGCATCCTTGAGCTTAGTTTCAGGAATTCCTTCTGGAATTGGTTTTCCTTGGTAGTAATTTCTCATGGTGGAGCTTGTTTCTGAGGCATGGTACAGTGCTGTGGAGGCAAGGCAAGGCTGTCGTAGTGATTTTCATAGCATCTGGAGACAAATTGCCTTCGCGTGGGGAAACCACACGGGACTGATGGCATCTCTGAATTTGGGGATTTCATCAGTTACCCCTGGAATCAAAATGGGTGCAGTGTCAAAATCTTTTTTATTTTTTGAGACAGAGTCTTGCTCTGTCACCCAGGCAGGAGTGCAGTGGTGCAATCTCGGTTAACTGCAACATCTGCCCCTGGGTTCAAGTGATTCTTCTGCCTCAGCCTCTCAAGTAGCTGGGACTACAGGTGCCTACCACCACGCCCAGCTAATTTTTGTGTTTTTAGTAGAGACGGGATTTCACCATATTGGCCAGGCTGGTCACGAACTCCTGACCTTGTGATCCACCCGTCTCAGTCTCCCAGAGTGCTGGGATTACAGGTGTGAGCCACCACGCCCAGCCTGAAATCTTTAAGAAAGTTATTTATTGCCACAAGTGTTGTCATCTGTGACTCATGAGCCACTAGATGAACCTGAACCATTAGTGGCTGTCCAGATCCTCCAACTTTTTGAGACAGTATTCTAATCAGGGTTTTATGACACCAAGTTATCCCACCATTTTTGCAACATAGGCAGAAACATCAAGCTGCAGGTAATTGATTTGTGTGTCACTGATTCCTGGAGCAGCTTTGAATGCATTAAATCTGTTTTTAGCAGACCTTGCACAAGAGTTATCTCTCAAAATATCTGTAAAGAGCAATAAGAATCTGTAGTGTTGCATGATACAATCCAAGCCTGTGAGTTGCATCATCAGGGATTGTCAGAATTTTATGTCTGTTCCATATCCTGCTGGTAACCAGCTTATTGACTTTCCATCAGGTTGGCTTAGATGTTCATCAACAGGAAATTGTTGCCATAATGATGGTATGATGCTGCACACAGTTGCTGCGCACATGGTTAGCATGGTATGGCGGTGCTGCACATGATCACTGTACAGAATTAACAAGGCTGGAACATGGCCTCTGCTGTAGGGGGCATGGCACATGCAACTCATGCTGGAATTAGTAGGAAGCTTTCCTCAATGGATATGGAGACTGATGCGTGCTCCATGTCTTGAGGGGGCCTGTCTTGGTTTCCTTTGGCAGGGTCTATTAGCTACTTTTGAAGGCTATACCAACCTTTTTAGGCCATTAAATTTTTCTCAAACAATAGCCAGCCTCATTTCTGCTTCACCTCTGTGGTAGGAACCATTCTCTATTCTTACACCCTCCTCTTTGCCAACTCCCACCAACCACCCAACCCGAGTCCTGGCTGCTTTCTTGCTTAGGTCTGTGGCTGGTGATAATGGCACCAGAGTCAAGGTGGGCAGTGTTTGGGGTAGGAAATGAGTAGAGGTGAAGCAGCAGCAGTGAGTGTGTGTGTGTGTGTGTGTGTGTGCACACACACATTTGCATGTGTATTTGTTGACAAATGAGAGTATAGCCATAAGATTTCATTGTTACTTCTAGTCTTTGTGCACCTAGCGGGAGGAACATTAAAAAAATATGGCCATTTTTCCATCTAGGGGGTGCCCATCTCAGACTTCTCTGATAAGAGTAGTTTGAGGACAAATACAGATTAGTCTATGGAAAAAGATGTTTAAACTCAGCATGAAGGAGGAACAAATTTCAGAGTGGAAAGCAAGACAGGTAGTTATGTGATTTCCATGCCTACATTTGCTTGGCCAGGGAAGTGGTCCACCTCTTTCATGACAGTGGGAGATTTCAGAAACAGTTTGAGTTTTGGCAGGCCAATGCTCTGATAGGCTGGTGTAGAGAGGGAGGAAAGGAGGGAGGCCAGAGATTCGAGAAAGTGATGATGAGTAGGATCTTAGCTCTAAATGAAAAGAACTGGACTTACTAAGTGGGTGGATTACTTGCTAGCCATAACTTTTAGGGAAGGGTAAGTCTGGAGAGAAGGTGAAGACCAGCAGAAATATACTGTGAAATTGCCAAATATGTTTGATTGCAGAAAACACAGCCTGGCTATTATTGTCTAGATATGACTTCCAACTTCTGAAGACAGGATTGCCAAGAGATGTGGTCTTTACCACATACAGCTCCTGTCCCTATCTCTTTATGTGTAGAGACTTGCATTTGGGGTAGTGAGTAGTAAGCCATATATTTCCAAAAGATGATTGTGAAGAGTCAGGGTTTCTCTTTGTCTGGGATGTGATTGGCTTTTAAATTAGTTATAAATGTTTGATAAAAATCTGGTATATGCTAAGTCCTGGGGTTGGTTGATATCTCAGGCTATGATAGCTGTGACCTTCAAGAAATCTCTGGCTTGGGGAATCTGTAGTTTCTGGTTGTCCAAAAAAGATAGTTCCTAGTCCTACTTTATTTTCTACCCACTCAACTCTCCAGACTTCCCTCTTAGTAAAGGAATTCCTGATTCTCCCTGCATCGTCTCTGTTGATTTCAATGTCTGTGTTCTGAGTTTGAGTTTTCCTGAAGCATAGGAGCAGGCCTGGCCCAGAGCGCCTGGCTGGCTTTTCGACGAACATCAGAAATGCTATCAATATATTCTCTCTGTCACTCTATCAGCTTCTCTAAATTTATTTTGTAAGGGGGTAGCAACTCCTTCATGGACCTCTAAATGGTTGTCTTTGCCAGTTTGTTACTGGGTTTTCCTTGAACTTCTCAGGTTCCCAAGCCACATCCTAGCAGGGCATCCAGGAACCTTGCATTGAACCTCTCAGTCCTTTTGGCTTTCTTCTGATCATAGGTGTTGGGCCTCCCATTAGGTAAAAGTCCTTTGAGCAGAACCAAAATGGCCAAATGAGACATCATCCAAGTTCCTCCCTCCTTTACTGTCTCAGCTTTTTCAAGCACCCCTTTCTCCTCTCTTTTCTGCCTTTTCCTCAGTCTGCCTAGTCCTCTTTGGAGGAAAGAAGTTCTTGGTCAGAGGTCCTAAAACCACCACCAGCTGGGGGTGGTGAGAATGGTGAGGAGGTTGGACAGTCCTGGGGCTTTTTTGAAAGGGGACTTTATGGTTATTTCCCTTATTTAGGGTGAGGGACTAAGAATTCTCAAGCCTTCAGTTTTATCCATATTTCAGTGTAGGCAGAAAAGCACATTTCAAAGCCAAATAGAAGTGATTTTCTACTAAGTCTATCCTTTATGATTCTTGACTCCCTTGGTCTCTTAATACTAATTGTAGAGAATGAGCAGTTGAGTAAGTTAACATCTTTTCATCAGAAAGGAGGGTAATTTTCATAACCAAAAGAGATGTAAAGGAACTATATTACTGCTTAAAGTGTGAAAAGAGGGAAGGGGTGTTATGTGAACCTTTTCAATAGGCAAATTCAGAAAGTGGAATGATTCATCCATAGGCATAATTCTTTTAGGAGATTCTGTGCTCAAAGGGAAGGGAATGGTTTCTGATCCTTCTGAAGAGAAAAGGAATAGCATTTTTCTTAAACCTAACCCAGTTTCAGCATTGGAGAATACAGAACTTTTTCTCTAGCTGATGGCATTAATATTTCTTGAGAGAGAGAACCCACCCACGGCACTTTTCTGAGCCCAGCAGAAATCAGTGGAGCTTGGGCTTCTCTTAGCAGGTTTGCAATTGACTTCAACATGCAGGCTTTTCACATGTGCAATAATGTTGGAAACAGAAGCACCAAACTGATTGTGCAATTACTCCTTTTGCAGAAGAGGCCAAAATCCTCCTCCTCCTTCATTTCTCCTATATTCACTCCTCCAGGATCATAGAGCCTCCCTCGTTTATCTGTGTCTGTCTGTCTGATTGGTTAGATTTGGCTGCTCTTCCAAGCTAATGGTGTCAGGTGGAGAGCAGCGCAACCTTCCCTCGGAAGGGGACAACTCGAGGTGCTGGTACATTTCCCTTGTTTTCTATGTTCTTATTTCCAGTGGGTCTCATGTAGAGATAGAGATATTTTTGTTTTAGAGATTCCAAAGTATATATTTTTAGTGTAAGAAATGTACCCTCTCCACACTCCATGATGTAAATAGAACCAGGAATCAATGTGTCATTGTGATAATCCCATAGCAATTTGTGGTAGGAACAAGACCCTTTTCCCTCACCACCGAGTCTCATGGTCTGTGTCTGTGACCCTGGGCAGGTAATTGTGACACTGCATCTCATAGACCTCTGCCTGCCCAGATTTTTGTGTGCTCATCTCAACGGGTGAAAAATAAAGTCTATATAAACTGTTTGCACCTGTGGTGTTCTTTGAGTCCAAACGAAGGGGCTGAGCCAATGCTGACCAATTTCAGAGCTTGTGAATGAGTGTGTGAAGATGGGGGAGGAAAGGCATGGTGGCTGCTGAGAGTGCCCTAGGAGGGCTGTGTTCTGCTCCCTGCTGCAGAGCATGAGGAGGCTGTCAGGGCCTCTCTCATGGGATAGCTAAGCTTGTGTTGGGGGAATAGGACAGCCTGGAAAGGAAGCTTATTCCGAAGACACAATGAGGCTGATGAGAGAACTTGTTAATATTTAGGACTCTGCTGCCTAGAAATCCAGATTTTAAAGCTCTGCCTGCGGTCATGCCAGAGTTGGTTTTTTGGGTCGGGGAGGGGTGTTATGTTTCTCTTCCTCTCATATCCCATTGTTGGAGACTTAGAGAGGAGGGGGAGAGGGAAGCAATGGAGTGAGAGTAGAACAGCCAGTGAGGGGGTGAAAGGAAAGGGTGGGGAGCCAGGCAGCAGCTTTATTGAGTGTCAAGAAAGGCATCCCCTGAAAACGTCCTGAACACGTGGCACTGTGTGGACATGTACAGCACAGCCAGTGCCAGCACGGCCTGTGGCCTATAGACATAGAGCTCATTAATTCTGAGGCCTTTTGCTATCTTTTGGCTATT